ACTCTTGCAACCCCATGGACTGTAGCTCTACAGGCTGCTCCGTCCTCCAGTATCTCCCGGGGCTTGCTCATGTTCATGTCCACTGAGTCAGTGATGCTGTGTAACCATCTTATCTTCTGCTACTCCCTCTCCTTTTGCCTTCACTCTTTCCCAGCATCAGGGTCTTTTCCAGTGATTTGGTTCGCATCAGGTGGCCAAAGTATTGGAGCTTCTGCTTCAGCAACAGTCCTTCCAATGAATAGGTGCAAAATGGGCTTGGTCTTTTCATTCATTAAGTGGAGCCTTTCCAAGGAGTGGCCACCTCACATCTCCCTGGGCAGCACTGTGTTCTGTGATCGCCCCTAGCTACGGAGGAGTTTGAGTCAACAAGTTTTTGTAGCTGAGCACATTGCTTTCTTTCTTTCTTTTTTTTCCACATTGCTTTCTTAAATAAAATCAGTCTTTGGTTATTAAGAAAGGATGGGAGATTAGCTACTGGGTAAATAACTAGCATTATCTGCTATGGCTTGTAAGTGTTTTTGTTAAAAAAACAAAAACAGCTACAAGGCTAAATTGACAGAGGGGTGAAGGAAGTGACAGATGCCCCACAATTTACTTTTTCTCTTTCACAAGTTTTCCTCCTCAGTTTCCTTTAATATTAATTGTAAGGTATATTTTGTTCCAGGGCAGTTGAAGTAAAGAAGAAAGCTCTTCGTCAAGGAAGTGATGGTGTGTGTTATTGTTATCTGAACCCTGGGTCTATGCCAGTATGTACAGTGCCCTTGATGGCTTCCTCTTGCCTTGTGGGAACAGTCTTTCCATTACCTGGTACCCCAGCCTCTCCCAGGTCCTGCCTGTCCCTGCCGCTCATCCCTGGACTCCCACTGTTCCCACCACATTCACCTGATAAATCTCAAAATCAGCCCTAGTGCCGTGACTCATCTTCCTTCCTGCAGCTAATGTTATAAGCAAACATCCCCTTGAAACTTCCTTCTCTGGGGTAAATCTCTCCCTTTTGTTTATTTGGTTAATTTGCTGTCGTATCAATTTTCTGTGACCTTAGTTCTTTTTTATTTTTTAAAATTTTGTTAAAGCAAAATAGATTTCAATTCACCTTGTCTCAAAAAAGTGAACTTTTTTAAAACTGATACTGCATTCTAAATGATTTTTTTTATGTGATGTCAAATAGCAAACTCAACAATAATAATTGGGAACATTAGACGTTATGTGCCAGGCAGTATTGTAAGCTACACATCATTTAAATGTAACCCTTACAGTGATCCAATGAGGTAGGTAATACTATTGTTCCCATTTTAAAGATGGAAAAACTGAGGCATAGAGAGGTAACTTGGCTCAAACTCACCCAGTAAATAAATTAAGAAACCAGGATTTAAAGCCCTTTTTCCCCCCCTCCTTTTTCTTATACATATAAAGAATCAAGGAGGCCAGCAAGCAACAAAACGCTCAGAGTCCAGCTTCACACCCTGTTAGGAAGCGTGATTTATGTAAAATGCCCCAGTTCTCTATGAACCCAGGCTACCATCCCCCTCCAGGTTGTTTTCTATGGGACGGTTCTTTCGCTCTCAAATTAATTTCTTGTATTTAATCTTGTGAATATAGATGCATTCACATTTTTCAAAGAAATGTACATCCATGGAGGGCTAACTCTTGCTCTCAGTCTCCCCCTCCTTCATGCCCTGCCCCCTGGGTCACCACTTTCGTTCGTTTCTTATATAACCTTCAGCCATTTTTCTAAGAAATGAAAATACAAGTAAATATAGATATGTTCCTTTTTTTTTCTATTTTTTAAAAAAGTGTTTAGTGTACACACAAATCTGCTTTTTTTTTTTTTCACTTATAAATCTTGGGAAACTTTTCACAGCAGTGTCAACAGTATATACAGAATTTCTCTTCTTTTCTCTTTTAATTGATAAAAAAAATGGTTTAGAAAGTATCCAGGTGTTTTGTTTTATTTTTTGGTGACACCATATGGCATGCAGGATCTTAGTTCCCTAACCAGGAATAGAACCCATGCCCCCTGCATTGGAAGTATGGAGTCTTAACCACTAGACTGCCAGGAAAGTCCCTCCTTATGTCTTTCTAAGATGCATAGTATTAAAGTGGTCTCTTTGCACATTAACCTGGTCATGCCTCCTGATTTTCTCTTAAAATACAGATATAATTGCAGTTGGCTCCTGATGCTACCATCAGCCATTGCCAGTGTGAGTGATGACCTGTCCTTTGTTTCCTGAAGGTTGATAGGGTACAATGATGCATCTGAATTTTCTTCTTAGAGTAATGACCATTTTCCCACCAGTTTTATTAAGGTATAATTGACATACAACACTGTATAAGCTTAAGGTGTATAGCATAATGGTTTGATGTATGTATACACTGTGAGTTGATAACCACAATAAGTTTAGTTAACATCCATCACCCCATGCCATCTGAATTTTAATATTCCTCAATACAGCTTGCAGATCCTGGTTTTAAGGAAGAGGGATGTTGAGACATGGACACTCCTAGACATTGCTAATGTAAATTGAAGAATGTAATTTGAGGAATGTAAATTGAGGTGGCTGTTTTGAAAGACATTTTTAGCTTGAGTCCTTCAGGAATCTGAAAAATGTCTTTGCCCTTTCACCTGGCTTTAATCCATAGGGCTTTGTCCTAAAATAGTATTGAGGTGGTGGTGGTGGCTTAGTTGCTAAATCATGTCTGACTCTTGTGATCCCATGGACTGTAGCCTGCCAGGCTTCTCTGTCCATGGGATTCTCCAGGTGAGAATACTGGAGTGGGTCACCATTTTCTTCTCCAGAGGATTTTCCCGAGCCAGGAATCGAACCCAGGTCTCCTGCATTGCAGGCAGTTTCTTTACCATCTGAGCCACCAGGGAAGCCTGTATCATATATATGGAAAACCAAGATAAGTTTCATTTTTGATCACACTTATGAGTGATTGACAGAGGAGGCAGTGGTGACCCACTCCAGTACTCTTGCCTGGAAAATCCCATGGATGGAGCAGCCTGGTAGGCTGCAGTCCATGGGTTCGAGAAGAGTCGGACCTGACTGAGCGACTTCACTTTCACTTTTCACTTTCATGCATTGGAGAAGGATATGGCAACCCACTCCAGTGTTCTTGCCTGGAGAATCCCAGGGACGGGGGGAGCCTGGTGGGCTGCCGTCTATAGGGTCACACAGAGTCGGACACGACTGAAGTGACGCAGCAGCAGCAGCAGGAGCGATTGAAATGTGCTGGATATGTAGAGCTCCAAACAGGGACGTTAAATCCAGACCCTTTTCTCTGTTTAGATTTTGGTAGTGGCTGTTGGATAGTAGAATTGTAGGTAACTTTTTGTTTGTTCTACAAAGATCAGTGGGGGTCCACTGAACAAGGATTTTAGGACAATGACGTGATTGTCTTGAGAAGAACATCCACTAGGACTTTGATCAAAATAGGTGAACACTTTGAACCTCAGAGATGATGAACTCTACCTGGTAGGGTTGTAAGGGAAAATTAAGTAGGATGGCTGATAATGAAGTTACAAAGTAACATATATTCTGAAATAGTATGAGTGAGAAGGAAAAGTTAACTTTTTCAGACTTGAGAATGGCTTAATTCAAGAAATTGAGATAATGGCATTTTCAACTTGGATTTACAACCACATGGTAATTCTCTCCTTTTATAATATTGAGCTTAAAGATGTCATATTTTGTCAGCCTTTGATTTCTATCTGTACTGATTATGCCATCTCCTTATTTATTCATAGACTTGAACCCAGTGATCTGGGTTTCCATATATAAGGTATGGGCCTCCCAATGCCTCTGTCCTCCTGGCACTTAACAGACTTCCACCTCAGAGAAACATGTCACCGAAGCCTTGGGGGAGGAGTTGGATTGGTGGGATAGGGCTGGGAGGGATTGGTTGGGGCTATCGGTATGTGAAGGTTTGTTCTTCAGCATTTTATTTTTTGTGTGTTGAGAGGTCTTTCTAGCTGTTTAACTTCTCAAAATGATTCTTTCCTTTAGCCATTATAACATTTACTTCACCTCTTAAGGTGTCTTTTTTTTTCTTCTTCTTTTTTTTTTAAGGCTGCATCTCAGCTTTGCAGGATCTTAGTTCCCCAACCAGGGATCAAACCTGCATCCTCAGCAGTGAGAACATGGGAGTCCTAACCACTGGACCGCTCGGGAATCCCCTTGTTTGTTTTTTGTGCATATTTCCCAGAATCATCTAGAAAAAGCGCGTCTGTTTGCTCATGTCTTATATGCCGTGTTGGAGATACTGAATATTGTCACCCCGTCTTAGTCTGTTAATACATACCTTAAATGACAAAATTTGTAACAGTTGGAAAACCTGCACAGGTGTTTGCAGCTCTTCAAGGGCATACCTGACCCCTAGTGACGGGAAGGAAACATAAAGGTCAGAGAAACAAGAAGGGTTAAGAAACGGAGTTCACAGTAAGGAGTTCCTTGGTGCTGACTCTCACCGTAGAAGTGGAGGACACCCTCCGCCTGTGAGGTGATGAAAGGACGCTGTCATGACAGTGGCTGCGGCTGTGGAATATCTGAAAGAGGCCGCTGAGGGGAATGGAAGTGTGGCCACTCCCAGGAATCAGTGAAGTGTCAGCATCTCAGATGGGCTATATGTGGTTTTCAAATGGTTGGGGGCCCAGGGGGTCTTTGTGACTGTGCCTGTCAACTTCGAGGGGCGGGAGGGGAGTGGTTATGGCTCCCAGAAAGCTAAGTGAATCTCCCACCTCAGACCTAGTCTGTCCCTCCCAGACCGTCTGAGATGTGCCCCAGAATTCTGTGTACAAATCACTGTGTCAGGGCTTGCTTAGCCATCCTCTTGATAACCAGGGAGTGGGTGGTGTGTGGCGTCTGCAAAAATCAACTCTTTGGGGGAGGGGTGGCTCAGTGGCCTTTGACAGTGAGCAATCAAATCTAGTTCACATGGGAAACTTGTACATATGGTTTCAGAGAAGCGTTTCTCCTCATGTATTTGTCTTCTCTCTGCAGATAAAGAAGAAACAGCAGGATGTGGTTAGATTTCTGGAAGCCAACAAGATAGACTTTGAGGAGGTGGACATCACAATGTCAGAAGAGCAGAGACAATGGATGTATAAGAACATCCCCCCGGAGAAGAAGCCTGCTCAGGGCAACCCTCTGCCGCCTCAGATATTTAATGGCGACCAATACTGTGGAGTAAGTAGCTAGGTTGTCACCACATCATTTCTTTGCCTGGGGTGCAGTTGGGGTTTTCCAGTGCAGACTGTGACTTCCTCACCTAGTACCTGTTCAGGTCCACAAATCTAACAGAGAGTGAAGTTAAGTGGGTGTGTGAGTCCAAGGTCACAGACTACGTCTTCCTGTTTGCTTTGAGACAAGGGGATGGGAAGAGAAGCTGGTGTATATGCGTGTTTATTGTGTTCTGCGTTTTAAAGCATATTTTTTGATTCATGCATTTTTGGGGACAGAATGAAAAGGGTATGTTCTTAAATATTTATTTCTCTAAAACTGCTAATACCTGATTATAAATCAGCGTTTTGCTTTTTGATGATCATGAACCAGATGGATCATTGGTGGTGGTGGTTCAGTTGCTAAGTCATGTCCGACTCTTGTGACCCCAAGAGCATATGCTAGGCTCTTCTGGGTCATTATGAACAGCTACAATGTATCAGATGCCTTCTTGCTGTATGTGGCATTGAGAAAATGAAGGCATTTTCAACTAATTGTCTATTTTCCTTCTTATTCCTTAGGTTAAAAATTTATTTTGAGAAATCTCTCTAATGAGTAGTTAGGATTTGCTTTCTGCCAGAGCTCTAAGTATGTAAGTCAGTGTTTATTTTGAGACCTGCATTGCACTTCTTTAAGGATGGCCTGGAGAAGGAGGAGGGGCTACAGTGTGGAGGTACTTACGGTGAAATAAAGAACTGGGTTGTCACTAGAATGGAGTAACAGTGCTTTTGGTGGTTCAAAAGGAAACGGGTGTCCATGAACATGAGAGAGAATGAAATGTTGAAACATAAAGCCGTAAAGATTGTGCCCAGCATCTTTGCATGTCATGAAGAGAGAACTGAACCTGGTGCTAGACACTGATTTAAGTTCTAGAACCGCTTTGTGTTGGCTTGACGCCTTTGAAAGTCACATCTCTTTATACCTCAATTTTCTCATCTTTACACAAAGGATGATAGTATGTATTTTACTTCCCAGGATATTTGTGATTGTTTCTAAAGTACTCCTAAAATTCTATACCCAGCCAAATTACCACTCAATTACAAGACCAGAATAAAGGCATTTTAACAGCTGCAGAATCTGAGGAACAGAATTCAACAAAACCACTGGATTTTTGTTTTAAGTTTTCTTGCACTGTTTAACTAATAGCTTTCTTTTATTTTTTTAATATTTACTTATTAATTTGGCTGCACTGGGTTTTAGTTGCCGCATGCGAGATCTTCCATCTTCGTTGTGGTGTGTGTGGCATGTGGTTCCCTGACCAAGGATCAAACCTGGGTCCCCTGCATCAGAGTATGAGTCTTAGCCACTGCATTACCAGGGAAGTCTTAGCAGTTTTATTTTGAATTGTACAGTTTACAGATTTTCAGCTTCTCTCATTGTGGTCTGCAGGCACAAAAGTACTGATCCATTTTCTAGACTCTGTAATCATGAGTGGGATACACCCTTGGTTACCATATACTTTCCCTAATAAAATATGTGATCATGACACAAAAAAATCCGCAAAAATAGTAACCTTTATTCTTATATAATAATGCAGCGTACTTCTTGTTGATGTTGCCTCTTCAGACCCTGAAGTGTGACCATCCTCTGCTCTCGACTTGTCTCTGCAGTTCTCTACCCACTTGCTGCTTATGTGGTTCAGGACTATCGGCATCTCCTAGTTTTATTTTAAAAGTGGAGCTGTTTTTAATCCTTGTTGTTTCATAGCCCTAATAAGAGGAGGGAGGTAGAGACATCTTTGCTTTGTCACCATAAAAGCCAAAGTCTTCAGGTCCCTTTTGAGTAGAGAAATGTGTTTAAAGAATAAAAAGGAATGGGATGTGAAATAAAGTTAATTCCTTTTCTTTATCTTCACTTCTTTATGACTTTCTAAATCTCCGTATACCTTTGCCCTGTGGAGTCTATGGAATTTTTTTCAGGTAGGCTGGCAGCTGGCTAGAAGCTTCCGTATTTATTAACTGTGCCAGATGAATGGCATCTTCTCTGCTTGAGCAGAGTCACTCCCACAGTGGTGGTGACAGCAATGTTGTGTGTGCATTCTGTCTTTATAGTCAGTTCTGGCAGCAGTTTTGAAGACAGTGTCTGCTTTTATCAAGGTCCAGTAAATTCAGCTTTGACAAAAACAAAAGAATCGGAGGGCGGTGAACCATGGCTTCATTCAACCACCTGCTTCTGTGCCCCTTTCTTTGCCCGGGGACAGGTTATGAGTGGTCTTATCTGGGTGGATAACCTGTGGAAACCTGCCGTATTGGAAATGACAGGATCCAGTAAGCACCAAGAGTCTCCTTTTTCCTGAACTGGCTGGAAATTTTACTACTTTGTTTTAAACTGGACGGGCTAGGCCTGTGAGACATTCATAGCTGCTAAGCTGTTTGCTCACCAGTGTGGACAATTGCCCTCTCTCTCCTTTAGCTTTTGAAAATCCTGCCTTTAGCATTTGAGATTTCCCACCAAATGAAAGCACCCTGGATTTGGACATCAAGGAAATGATGCAGAAATAGCAGCAGTTGGAGGTGGCTCAGTGAGTTCCAGGGAGTGATGGGGCCAGGGGTAGGCTGGTGGCTGGACACTGTATGTTTGGCGTCTTAAGGAAGCTGATCCCGGGGTGTGGCCTGGATGTGTTGTTGGCTTTCCAGGCATGGAAATTCCTCTTCTTTTCTAAACTGGATCTCCAGCCCTAATATGGATTCTGAGTTCCCCCCATACCTTTGAACATTTCTTTCCTTTTAAGTTGCCAGTGTCTATTTCAGTTGTTTGTGGGCAACAGCACTTATTAACCCAGATCGGTTGCTCTTGCTATTTCCATGAAATGTCCTACCAGGAGCAGGATTCTTCTCTGGAAATGAAATCCTAAAGGTCAACATCCCGACATGTAGGCTTTTCTCATTTTAGAAATCTCAGATCCTCATGTTCAAGGTTTAAATTCTGTTCTCCGTCTGTGGAACTGGCATGTGTGGAATGCACCAGAAATGAAAATGCACACATCTGCACAAAATGAAAACATTTCCTCCCATTTCTTTTCTCCCTTCCTATTTAGAAGGAAGAAAAAAAAAAAAAAACAATAAAAGACTGGGATTTCTTTATATATTTTTTTTCTTAAAAATATTTATCATTAAATTTACTTTTTTTGGTTGCTCCCCTCGGCATGTGGGATTTTAGTTCCCCAACCAGGGACTGAACCTTCGTCTCCTGCAGTGGATGCACTAAGTGTTCACCACTGGACCACCAGGAAGACCCCCAAATTTACTGTCTTAACCACTTTTAAGCGTACAGTTGAGGAATATTACGTATATTCACAATGCTATAAAACAGGTCCCCAGGATTTTTCATCTGGCAGAATTGAGATTCTTATACCCATTAAATACACCTGTTTGTCCCCCCCCCCCCCGCCGTAGCCCCTGATAACCATCGTTCTACTTTATGTATCTATTGAATTCGACCTCCTTAGAGACCTCCCAGAAGTGAAATCATACAGTATGGGTCCTTTCTGCTATGTCAAAGGACAGAGCACAGTGTCCTCACGGTTCATCTGCCATGTATGTCTTCATCCATTAAGACTGCTGTAACAAAATACAACAGACTGGGTAGCTTACAAACAACAGAAATTTATTTCCCAGAGTTTTGGAGGTTGGAAACAGGGTTACACTGGGGTTGGGTTCTGGTGAAGGCCCTCTTCTGAGTTGCAGATTGCCAACTTACTATAGTATCCTCTTGTAGTGAAGGGGTTAATGGAGTTGTAATCTCATCCAAGAGGGCTCTACAGACCTAATGTATGAATTTTGAGGGGCTTCTATTGTACGTGTATATCACATTTTGCTTTTCTACTCATCCATGATGAACATTGGGTTGCTTCTACCTCTTGGCTGTTGTGAATAGTGCTGCATGAACATGGATTTGCAATATCTCTTCAAGGTATTGTTTTCAGTTCTTCAGGATACATACATAAAAGTGGAATTGTTGCATATCATATGCTAATTCTGTTTTTAATTAATTGAGGAACTGCCAAACTGTTGGACCATTTTATATTATAATCCCATCAGTAGTGCACAAAAGTTCTAACTTTTCCATATCCCCACCAACACTTGCTATTTTCTGTTCTTTGGATTTTTGGTGTTTTTTGTTGTTGTTGAGAGTAGCCATCCTAATGGGTGTAAGGTGATATCTCATTGTGGTTTTGATTTGCATTTCTTTGATGATTAGTGATGTTGAACGTCTCCTATACTTTTGTTTTCTGTTTGTATATTGTCTTTGGAGAAATGTCTATTGCCCAGTTTTTAATTGGATTATTTGACTTTTTGTTACTGTGTAGAAATTCTTTGTATATTTTGAATATTAACCTCCTATCAGATATGTAATCTGCAAAAATTTTCTCCCATTCTTAGGTTGCCTTTCATTTTCTTGATTGTATCTTTTGATGAACAAACTCTAAATAAGAATTTGATGTTGACTCATTTGTCTGTTTTTGTTTTTGTTGCCTGGGCTTTTGGAGTCATACTCAGGAAACCATTACTTGCCAAATGCAGTGTTATTAAGCTTTTTCCGTATGTTTTCTTTTAGAAATTTTGTAGTTTGGCGGTCTTATATTTAGGTCTGTAATTCTTTTTTTTTCTTTCCTGCTGATTTTTTATATGGTATAAGATAAGGGTCTAGCTTCATTCTTTTGCATGTTATTATCTAGTTTTCCTAATACCATTTATTGATGACACTGTGCTTTTCCCATGGAGTGATCTTGACGCTTTTGTTCAAGATCATTTGACTGTATATGTGAGGGCTTATTTATTTATTTATATTTTGGATTGTATTCTGTTTCACTGGTCTATATGTCTGTCTTTATGCAAGTACCACACTGTTTTGATTACTGTAACTTTGTGATATGTCTTGAAATTGGGAAGTGTGATTTCTTTAACTTTGTCTTCAAACTTGTTTTGGCTTGAGATTCTGTATGAAATTTAGAATTTTTTTCTTAT